ATAAATATGGGCTCGAAGTCTATGTGCAGAATGGGATCTTCAGACTTCCGCTCAAATGAGTGAAAAGGATATGAACACCTTGGCCGAATCGTTTCCGCCACACTACTGGTAATGCCTGAGGAGGGCCTCCAGTTACTCAGCGTGCGCTGCCAGCCTTGGATCATGGGTTAACATTCAGCAAAGGTCAGAGATCCTCATTCAGGATCATGAAGCTGCAGATGTCAAACGGCTGTGTAAAGATGTGGGAGAGAGGGAGAGACAGAAGAGCAATCAGGAATATGCCAGAGTATGTCTTATATACATCATTATCAATTCCCACTCGGCTTGAAAACATTCTGGTAGCTCAGCTTGCATGACACATGCAAGTTAAGTATGTTACTCTGAAACAAAACACTGGTAAAAGTAATCATATTGGTAATGTAATTACCTTAAAAAATGTGCTAGAAAGAATGTGGCTGCTCCTTATTTTCTAGCTCTGAACCAGACAATGTAGAATTGAAGTACAGGCACCTCCCATTGTTCTTAAATGTCATATTGTTGAGGCGACTTAGCAATTTTTTTGTGCTGATTTTTTTAGTGTAGCAGAGGAATGCTGAAGTTTGGGACCGGGCCAGAGTCCTTCACAGTTGAAATACGTCAGTTAGTTTGCTTTAGTTTATTGTAGCTCACATTAATTAAATATAACCCGGAGTTATATTTCCTCCCTGCAGCCTTAGTTGTCAATCATTCTTTGACCTTCAGAACCTTGGATATATCCACTACATAATGTGTCCACTGGGGATCATGTTAGCTTGAATGTTTTATCTATTGGAATATGAGGCTCGTTTTATCAGGTTCTCCAGGAATGTCAATCAGCCCTTGGCAGACCACAAGACGGTGTTTGCATTCAATTGTAAACTAGCACAAAAGTGGGCAACTTGTTCTGCACTGAGGAGACGTATAACAAGCAATGGTGAATCTAATACTGCACAAACTCAACCAACATTGTAACCTTAATAGTACTTGTAGATGCAGGTCAAGATGCAATGAATTTGTGTAACTAATTTCTTGGACTCAGGGGTGTGTGCTTAGTTTTGTTTTTCAAGCTGCAGCCCATTCTTACTGAAACAATATGACAAACCATTGTTTTAATAGGACATTTTGACAGTGCTTGTAAGATATGGAATGTCTAGTCAACTGTTGAACAAAATAATGCCAGAAAAAAAGCTAACAGGGGCCTTTTATATGAACTGAAATAAGTCTTTAGATTCCACTGAAGGACACATTTGATAGACATTGGCCATACCCTGGAAATTACAACCTTACAATATGTTCCTTTAATGTGCTTTATTAAGTGACTCTTTTCTTGATCTCTCTCTCTTTTTCCCTCCCCAGTTCAATGAAAATGCTCAAAATGTCAGTTGTTTCAACCAACTTGTACAAGCAAATGTGAGGAATAAGAAGAAGTTGAAAGAAGCTGTTTATAAAATCCAAGCCAAAGGGATCACCGATTACAAAAAAGGCTTCAGTTATGCCTTTGAACAGCTGCTAAATGTAAGTGTTACAAAGCCTAACCCTGTAAAAAGTTCTCATGGTGGCTATGTGTTGACACAACATGCTGAAATGTAAATGCCTTGCCCTTACTGAGAGGAATGCACTTTTGTCATTGATATTTCCAAGCTGCTCTATTCCAAGGAGGTGTTTTTGTGTTGTTCTACCAAACCTGTGCCGAAAAAATTACAGTGGCTACTGTGTTGCACTGGTTTGGGGGTCTTCTCGCTGAAGCGCAAAATGATCTTCCTTTGATTTACCACAAAATTGTAGTCACATCTGCATTCGTGTTTTTCCTATGAACGTATGTTTATTTATTGCTAATGTCTAGTTTGAGAAGAGCGTATACTTCGTACTGTTAATCAGCTTTCCTTTCTAAATGTGGGGTATTTAGTTTAGGAAAATCAGTGATGTGGCAGACATCTTTGATCACTCTGAGGAGCACCTATGTGAAAAATGTGATAAACTTACAATCTAGTTTGACCTGAGGAATAGTGATAGGCAGAAGGTTCACCAATGAACATGATTAAAGCCAGAAAGTGGACTTGGCTCCTATACATGCATCGTGCCATCTTCTATAAACTGTCCAGGTTCTCTTCAGGTAATCTGGTGTTATGCTTTTTTTCCACAGCAAATATGAATCATGAGGGACAAGACCACACCCTTAAGCCTATTCAAAACTTTTTGAAAACTCCAGATTAAGAATGTGGGATATTGTGCTTCTGTACAGACAATTCAAAAAGCCAGGGACTGGCCTAACAATGCTACACAATATTGTGCCCGCATTGCCAGCAGGAAAAATTATGCCAAGCTTTACATAGCAAAGGGCATCCTGAATGTTGACAATACCAAAGGCAACAATCAAGATGGTCTAGGATACTCTCTTCTGCTCACTACCATTTACAAAGTGACACCATTGGGGGAAATCCCAGAAGCTAACTCCTTTTTTCCATCAGTTAACCACTTTTCATCCAAATACAAAGCAATTGTTGGGGCTGTTTTTCAACAAGTACTTTCCTAAACGTATATATAATGTATATGTGACATTCATACTTCACATATTTCCCATGAGGTGTACCTGTGCAACTCAAATGCGTACCCTTCAGGCTTAACAGTTATGTCATAAGAGAAGCAGCCTCACTGATGATCATTTCATTATTTTTTTTATTTGCATGCCAGCTTTTCTTCTGTAGGAGACTCAAGGCAGCTTACAGTAAATTTTAATATAATATTAAAAAAACAATTAAACACACAATATTAGAAACAAACATAAGAAACACTTAAAAAAAAAACCTTTGAGTGCTTTGTACAAGTTATTTTTAAGTTCTTTCCACAATTGTTGACTTCTTTTTTCTTTCTGTTTGAAACAACAGCATAAATATCATTAGGAAACAAAAAGGAAAAAAATACATCTAAATGAAGGAAGTTCAAGTACCTTTCCCTCCACACACCTCTGTTTTCCACACTTGTCTACCGGCTTGTAGGCTGACATGATGCTGCTTGCTATAATGGCAACTCTGCAATAGTAATAATTGGGGGAATGATAAGAACAAATGATTTGGCCTATTCAGGAGTCATTCATAGGCTTCTCAAACTGCCGTAGTTCCATTAGATGGGATGCCCCCACTGTGAGAGGTCTGAATGTCAAGAACCTCAGAGCAGTCATTTTCTTTTTTTAAAAAATACATTTTATTAGTTTTTCAATCTATATTTGGTTCATGCTTATAAAACATCATGTTACATGGGTTAATTACAATTATTTGTTTTTGCATCTTGGTGTCTTCCCAATTATCCCCCCAAATCCCACACATCGTTGATCACTGAAACCATTCATGTATGTATTTTAGTATACAATATTGGCTGTGATCATAATATTACTCTCCTAGTATACAATGTTTCCAAAATCATCTAATAACTTACTTAATAAAAGTAATTCCAGTTCCAAATCTATATAATTTGAGGTGATTTAACTGACAAACTTTGTAATTTATACCAATGATAACTGAGTAAGCTCTTAACACATAATAGATATTATCTGGAGCATTTTATACAGATTTTCTTTGTATAATTGTTTAGCCATTTCTATCTCCACATTTTCTATCCTGTCTATAACAATATCATATCTGATGCATGTTCATCATGTACTATTTGTTTACCCCAACCTTATATCTAGCTTCAGTTTGCCTTAAAAACCCCCACCATATCATGCCTTTACCCTGATTAGTGCTCCCTTATTTCAGTTTAATTCTCTTTTTTAATATGTAAGATATGCCCCTTTGCAATTCCAGAAGTCAGGTATATACATGCTTTCCAACATCAAAGGCCACCTTCTCATTTTTCCCTTTTTCATCTTTCTAATTCCTTCTCTTAATCTTTTTTCAATTTTGGTTTCTCTCTTTCTAAACATTCTGCCATCTTTTGTGTCCTCTGAGGCCATTTTATGCATAAACCAAATACACTTGGTCTATCTCCAATAGATCTTCCAGGCTATTTTTAATTAATTGTGCTGATTTTCTCCCCTTATCTTCCCGTAAAGCTCTCCTTGACTCCA